GAAAAAAGTTGGGTTTATCCATTTCTTCTATGCGGTATTGCCGGATTTTGCATCAAAATTTTAAACAATAAAAAAATAAACGCATCAAGGACCTAAAAACACACGTAAAACATCAAAAACTTAAATAAAATAATTAACTTTCGTGGTACTTGTACAGGTTGTCCCATTTTTGTGTGTTTTACAGGGTTTCTCGTTTATGGGCAAAAATACGGTTTTCACAGTTGCTAATTTTTTTTGTGAAACTAAAGATGGTAAACACATATTTGATGCCGCTGTTAAAAATTTACGATAAAAATATGTGAAAAAAAGACCTAATTTTTTTCTAAAAAGGCTTAAATCATTTAAAAGATTTAAGTCTTTTGTAAAATTAGTTAAATCTTTTCTAAAAAGACTTAAATCTTTTAAGAGACTTAAATCTTTTTTTAATGACTTAAATCTTTTTCTATTTCGGTATAAAGACTTAAATCACAAGTCATTTTGAAAATGACTTAAATTTTAAGGCTTAAGTCAACTTTCGAAATATGACTCAAAATTAAATTATTTAAGTCCTTAGAATGATTTAAGTCAAAAAAAGACTTAGGCCCGTATTTATAGTTGCGTCTCGAGACGCCAAGACGGTCTTGGGCTCTTGAGAGCGAAATCCACAGAATACACGAGCAAACGTCATTTTGGAGATTGCGATTTTCATTTCGGAGATTGTCATTTTGGATAGTTTATGTGATCTGTGGATAGTTTCTTAACCTAACTTTTTTAGTAAACAAACTAAAACAAACTTAAACAAAGTAAATCCCTTGTAAATCCGTTTTGTCTGATTTGACAGTTTTGAATATGTTAGAAGAGTTTGAGGATATTTTTGACCATGTGGAAGAAGAAAATCGTCTTCGAGTTCCAAAAAGATATATACGGGATGCAGGAAATCCAATAGAAATGTTTAGCGAGGGGGGATTTATGCCGATATAGGTTTAACAAGGCTACAATTACAGAAACTATTTTACCTCTTATAAATTGAAGACTTGCAAAAACCTACCAATCGTGGTTTACCTCCATTCTCCCCATTATTCCATTACTAATTTGTTTACAGTTTTATGCGACTTGTAATTTTCAGATGGTAAATGGAGACTTGCGTGGTGTTAGCCAACCTACAATAAGCCAGATAATCAAGAGCAATGCAATAATGTGGAAGTATTTCAAAATCGCAAAAGTTTTTTAGTCTTAGTGTTCAGGTCCCAAAAGGGAAATTATGGATATTATAGTTGGATATCCAGGGTCAAGTCATGATAGTGTTATATTCGATCGAAGTAATTTAAGAATGCTAATGGAAAGGCGTGATATTCCTGGTTTACTTTTTGGAGACAATGCATATAGATGTAGGCCATTTCTATTGACTCCTGTTCTACAGCTAGGTAATCAACAAGAAACCAGGTGTAACTTTGCCCATAGAAGAACGCAAAATGTTGAAAGGCTATTTGGGACTTGGGAAAAATGTCTTCCATGTCTCCGAGGTTTACAAAACAGCTGTTGCTATTATTTGTGCAACAGCTGTTCTTCATAATATTGGTTTAAGGCAAAATTTAGATAATTTTGAAGATACTAATTTACACATTCCAATTATAAATAAAAAGGAAGAGGGTTAGATTTTTGAAGAAATCTTATTCAACATTTTGCAAATTGATGTATTTATTGTATAATATTAATATATGTATATCTAGTAATTATGTAATATTGTTAAGTGATGTTCCAAGGTAACTAGTACCTACCTATATAATAATTTTATTTACTTTTCTATTAATGTTAAGTTAGTGTTTATATATTTACATACGTAACATATTTTAAGTAATTTGTTATAGTCTATTATTAGTTATCTTAAACTACTGCTTTTCTATACTTAAATAATATATTATATCTTAGTAGTTTTACACTCACTATGACAAGACAGCTAAGTGATCACACAGAATTTTCCCACTAATAAATTAAAACTAAAAAAATTGTCTTTTTATTTTCTTCATCATGAATATTTATATAAATATCATATCACATAACAACTAACTTAAAAATTACCTAAAAGAATAAAAAAAATATTCATTCTAAATTTATGATATTTAAAGATTTTAAAAACTTATGAAACTATTCAAAACTAAATAAACCAAAAGTAGTATTCATTAAATATTAAACATATTCTTCTATATACTTCGGTTTATGTGTTTTTCTGTGTCATGGGATAGAACTTGTGTCACTGTAAATAGTCCCTTATATTTAGTAGCACTTTTCATATAGACCATGTCTCGATCTATCTTATATGTGATCCCTTTAAATCTATATGTTTATCATAAATTTTTTATACTTCCTTTGTTCCATTTCTATATTTTCTTTGACCTCTTCTCTCAATTTTTCAGGTAATCAAATACTTTTCATTCTCTACTGTCAATAACCTCACTTGTCCATCTTCAATCATCGGAATATATCCATATAATAATAATTCAGAAGGTGTTTTTTCGCCACTGGATTTTATTCACAGATGTATTTATAGCTCTTTCTATATTCTTAATATATGTATCCCATTTGTTGTCATCATCTGCACAAGCTGAAACCAGTATCATTGGAATAATAATGCTGTTCAACCATTTATGGTTGGATCACACAAATTCACCCAAATGTTCTGCTATTAAAATGGACACCCTCTTGATAATCTGGCTTATTGTAGGTTGGTTAATACCACGCAAGTCTCCATTTAATATATGAAAACAAGTCGCATAAAACCGTAAACAAATTAGTAATTGAATAACGGGGAGAATGGGTACACCACGATTGGTAGGTTTTTGCAAGTCTTCAATTATAAGAGGTAAAATCGTTTCTGTAATTGTAGCCGTGTTAAACCTAATCGGCATTTAAATTCCCCCTCGCTAAACATTTCTATTGGATTTCCTGCATCCCGTATATATCTTTTTGGAACTCGAAGACGATTTTCTTCTTCCACATGGTCCAAAATATCCTCAAACTCTTCTAACATATTCAAAACTGTTTATACTCTGTTTTTTTTCTCAGGTAAGATTTCGACAGACGATGACAGAAGAAAAGCAGATGACGTCCCATACCAATCTATTTATTTTACTAAAAAAAGTTTCTAATAATTTTTAGGTTATCTATGGATGGGTTTAAATATAAATCCGTCATGCGTCGTGTCTTGTTGTTTTTAACCAGTTTTATTGGTTTATTTAAAAAATGACAGATCGTATTTCAATTTTATTGGTTTGACGGAACGATGAACGACAAACGGACGCCGATGCGTATGAACTCGCTGCCTTTAGATTTTTGTAATTTTTGACGCTTGTCATGTCTGCCAAATTATAGGTTATAAATTTGTGTCAACTTTTGTTAAATACCCTGCGTTTTGGAAGATGATGCATTTGATTCGTATTATTACGTGTGTTTTGTGTCTTTTGAAGTCAACTGGAGAAAAATCGAGTGAAAATTAACTGTAGACCCAGAGCACAGCTTATGGTTAATACTGCTGCCCAGGCAGAAAGTCTTATACGCCAATGAAGTTGCCATCGATAAAGTTTGTATACCATTTCGTCGTAGATAAGTGCATCTCGTATATGGTAGAAGGATCAAACTAAACACATACTAAAACTGAGTAGCTGTAAAATATCGACATCACACGATAGGTAAATAATGGATTTTAGTACTGCAGAAAAATAATGTCAAAAGGTACTGGTTCAAAAAAATTAAGATTAAAGTTAATTAATCAGCCTTTAAGGTATAAAATTTGGTAGGTGTTATTATTAATAAAATAGTTTGTTTTATTTACCTGTGTTGTTTTATTTATTCCTGTGGACAAATTTGTATTTGTACATAAGTTATATTGATAAATATAATCATAAATGCGGGTAGTTTCATAAAGCTTGAAAGTAAATAATAGTTCTTTTTTATATTTTTTTGGTATGTAGTGTCTGGTTCTTGTTTGTTTTGTATTAACACATACCGTTTTTATTAAATAAAATAACTCGATTACATTTTTTCATTTTTATACAGTTTTTTTCACAATATTTTGAAGTAATCACTTGTCATCTTGTCAATCAAATTTTAAATATTTCCTGCTATGCGTTCCAGTTGTACCAACTTATTTCTTTGTAAAATAAAATAAACTACTTTGAAATTAAAATGACAGACACATCTATCACTGTCAAGGATCTTCTCGTTGGACAGACTATAATCAGACAAAACGGACTTACAAGGGATTTACTTTGTTTACTAAAAAAGTTAGGTTAAGAAACTATCCACAGATCACATTAACTATCCAAAATGACAATCTCCAAAATGAAAATCGCAATCTCCAAAATGACGTTTGCTCGTGTATTCTGTGGATTCCGCTCTCAAGAGCCCAAGACCGTCTTGGCGTCTCGAGACGCAACTATAAATACGGGCCTTAAGTTACAGCTCTGTGGAAACATCTATGACACTTCCAAGGAAAAGGACAATGAGATTAAAAAGACAAGTTACACAGTCTAAAGTGTCCAGTGATTAACTCGTCATAACTAAACAACGCACCTAGTAGTAAACTATTCCAATAATTCCACTCGTGTGGTCTAAACCCCCCGAGCCAGAATTGTTTAGTGTGTATAATTTAGTGTCAACAACAATTTGTAACACTATGAGAATATATTTTAACTCACTGCTCTCGAAACACCTCATAAATTACCATCTATTTTCACCCGACTTTTCCATATTATTATTATTATGCATCTCCTGCTCGAAAATTGTAGCCAGTATATTTTCATCAACCTCGCCCCACCACCCAAGCGCATTTCCAGCCGCTCGTCCGCGTTTGCCACATCTCTTTCTTCGTCTTGACCCCCGACACCTGTATGCATATCCGTTTTCCTGGTTTATTTGCCCCGCATCGGCGCCGACTCTGCTCGCAGGAAATTTCCCGCGCGCCGGCAACGCCGCCTCGCAGTTGATAGGCCACGTTCGTCGGCAACCTCGCAACTCAGTTCCGTTTGAGACGCAGCAGGAATGGGTCGTAGCCTGTTGATCGTTGGCCGGCGCGTGAACTACCAATTTTTCCATTGCACATTTTCGTTATTTTGGCGAAGATTTTTAGGGAAAATTCATCGGGAAGTTAAAGAAAATCGAGTTTCCAGTGCTGGAAATATTTCGGTATAATTAAAGCAATTTTTGTTTTTTTTTTCGGTTGTTATTATCGTTATAGTGCGCACTTCGACCTCTCTCACGAAATTGGAAGGAAAAAAAACATAGTGTGTGTGTGCAGCGTTGCCGTCGATAGCACGGCACTGGTATTCTTCCATGGTGCATCGGCTCTATGTTGTCGCAAGTGTTGATGAGCAACAGTAGCCATCAGAGGCGTGCGGGCGATGGGAGCAGCGAGTACCCCGGAGCCGGACCCAGCGGGGTGTTCAGGGGCGTGCAGGGAGGGTTTTACCAGCAGGACCCGATGGCGGGGACGGCGCATCACGGGGGTAGTGTGACGGGGACTGTGGTGCACCAGCAGCATCACTATCATCATCAGGAGGCAGGAAGTAGCAGTGGTAGTGGTGGAAGGCATGGAGGTATCGCGCAACATCAGTGGTATTCTCCGCCGCCACAAGCGACGTACAGTTATGTTGGACCTAGGTAAAAAAGATTTTTAAAGAGTAGTAATACGTCATTGATAAAAACGTGATTTTACAATATTATATCAACTGGCTGATATGAGAGATTAGATTCTATTAAACCTAGATTTTCATTTCAATACTTCAAAAAGTGTAAAAACTTGGAGACTGACCTTCCATACATCTTTTTGCCAAAGGCTTACCATTGCCTAGTTCTGGAATGTGAACATTTGTTCCAATTTAAAACTATAGTCATGGCTCAACTTTCGTCTATCTAAAATCAGTTATGTAAAAAATATTTGTTTATTTAGTATTTGGAAGCTTTTTTGATTTTTCTGCGGTAATGCATAATTTTCATTTTTTCAACTCAGCTGAAACCAAAACACGTTTCTGTTTTTCTAAACATAGACAGGCAAAAAACTTCTTGCGGAAATGTACAATCTTTATTTATTGATAAAATATTGTAAAATATAGCAAGATTTGAGAAGCAATTATTGAAATTCGTAAACAGGCGCGTTTTAACTTACAGCGTGTTTTGATTACTTTGGTTTCGTTTATTTTATTGGTTCGTTTTTGTCGGTACGGTATTAATGTCTGAATTACAGTATCTCTAGGTTAAGTTCATACCTACTCAAGAAAAGTGTTTAGAATGTAAAGCAGGAACATGTTTTCATGTAACTCATTTTACTCTCCAAAAAACCCTACATGGGTAAATAGCTATGTCGCCACTGCAGGAAAATCTAAAATAGAATAAGTATTTTTTGTAAACACTGATGCTGCGTTAATCCAACGGAGACTAAAGCATATCGCGCACTTATGCGAAGCGCGGCGCGGCGCAGCGCGGCGAATTTTTGATGGGTCCGCTAACTTATGCACGGTTTTGCGTACGCGGTTGGTATTTAAAGTTGTTTTGAGCTGACCGTTTTAATTTTAGTGTTATCTCTATGACGGTTTGATAAAGGTGTGTTAAAATTTCATTATGTGCTCAAGTTCTAGCAGCAGTTCAGAGGGAGATTTTCTTACTTTATGTACAATAGCTGAGGAAGAAGAAATGCGTGAGAACAAAAAAAGAAAATCTTGGATTCATAATATAAATATAAAAAGAAATACGTACGGAGAATTCCATCACCTTCACTCAGATCTTCTGGAAGACGAAAGAAAATTTTTAATAAATCATAATATAACTTGATAATATGGCAGCATAAGTTGTAGATTAAATTTCGTTGGAATTTGACTTTCGAAAAATCGGTTTGCCAAAAATAAGCTTTTTACGTCAAGCAGTTTAAGCAGAATCGTGGTTAAGAAATTACCCAACTTTTTGGAACACCCTGTATGATTTTTTAAAAAAATTCATAATATGTAAAAAAAAAAACAAATAAATTATGCTTGTCCAAGCGTTTTCCCGAAAGACTAACCGTTTTTTAAATAACAAATATTGTAATATTTGAGGGCGTTTTCACACTCTTGGAATTTGAGATTCGAGAAACCCCTCCTTATCGAACCTCTACACCCCACAGTCAATCCGTTTGCCAAAAATCAGCTTTAAACGTCAAGCAGTTTAAGCAGAATCGTGATTACTCTATGGTCATATTTTATGAAACACCCTGTATACATTTATAAAAATCTTAAAATATGTAAAAACAACAAAATAAAATATACGTGTGTAAGCGTTTTTCGGAAACTTGACCGTTTTTAAATAAAAATATTGTAATATTTGAGGGGTGGTTTCACCCTCTTGGAACTGGCATTTCGAAAAATCCCTTCTTATCGAACCTCTACACCCTAGAATCAACCTGTATGCCAAAATTGAGCTTCTTACGTTGAGTGGTTTGAGCAGGATCGTGATTAATCAGTATGTCAGTCACTTAAGGATTTTATATATTAGTATAGATAGATAACTAATAGTTTTAGGTATATAAAACTATATACAAAAAATTATAGAATTTTACTCAGAATCTCTGCGTAAAATATGTGCTCTACATTTAAAAGAAATATTAAATTGGGCATCTCTTAAACTTCTCTAAAATTTGTTCTTTGTAGTCTTTTGTTGTAATTGTTAAAATAAATGAGATAATGAACAAAGAACTTTAGTCTATCCTTCACTCACCCTGTACAACAAATTCGTACTACGTTTATGTACCGCTACCCACTCCATAAACTTGGGAAATAATTAAAATTTCATACCTTTTATTCCGCATTTTTCTTCAATTTCTTCCCAAATATTGTCCCTTCTCAATTGATTATGATAATTGGGATCTCCAATATCATATATCTCTTTATAACTTTGTATAATTAAAATGAACGTTTCATCATCCATGATAAAACAATAATTAAATTACAAGTACTAAACAAACTCAAACGAAACAAAACGGCTCTTGATTAAACGTAACCTAAATGCCAATTAGTAATACATTAATCGTAGAATCCTTCATCCGAAGACACCCGAAATAGATTTCGAAAATGACCGAAAACAGAGATAGTTTCCGCAGACCACCGCGCACTAGGGCACGCGAAGCGCGCCGAAGAGAATTTCCTCGCTTTGGATTCCAGGTCTGCAACGAACGGCGCTTCGGCGCGCGGTGCAAGCGGTTGCTTCGCTTGAGTCAGCGGACGTGCATTATATAACACAAATTTAATCCGTTGCACGGTTTTTCGCCGCGCTTCGCCGCGCCGCGCTGCGCATAAGTGCGCGATATGCTTAATTGTCAGCAGTGGCTTGGTTTGCCTAACGGACAATATATTTATTTATGTTATGCTCATTAAAATCAAAGAAGCGATTGCCATAGATTAACTTACAGCGTGTTTTGATTACTTTGGTTTCGTTTATTTTATTGGTTCGTTTTTGTCGGTACGGTATTAATGTCTGAAGCGTATCGGTTCAGGAACTATCTTACATACAAGACAAAATTAAAAGTGTATAATGCTTATTTTTTACCTCACTTTAGATACCTGCTCCCTGTTTGGGGTACCTGTGGTGTCGCGAACTTTGGTAATATTCAAAGATTACAAAATAAAACACTAAAAATACTATTTAATTACGACCAACAGACTCACACGGAGACCTTATACAGGGAGCTGGGAGTGTTTAAGCTGGAGGACTTGCGAGAGTTGGAGCAGTGCAAACTCATTTATAAAATAATTAACCAACGTCAAAAGTCAAATACACCATTATCATTTTGCAACAAAAATCATGATCATAAAACGAGACAGCATCTGAACATTTATCTTTCTAACATTACTTCTAATAAAGGACTCCATAATCCGGTATATCAGGCTGCTTCTGCATACAACTCATTGCCAGATGACTTAAAGCACGAAGCAAGATATCAGGGATTTGTACGTAAATTAAAAAAAAAATATGTAAGAAAATAGTGTAAATAATGTTTATAATATACTAAGTATATAGAGCTGTTGCATGTGCCACTCTATTGATTTGAGTTAATATATAAATATATAGTGTAAATTTAAATTATTGTAAATAGAATACCTGTTTATTTTTTTTTATTTAAGTTCTCAATACCAGTGTTTGATATATACACTGTTTAGAGAAAGAAAAAAACTATGTTGAATTATATGAACTTTATGTTAAATAAATATTTTCAAAAAAAGATAACTAGCATCTACAGATGCATGAGCAATCCATTTATTTTTATTAGATTGTATTAAAAAAGCCTTTTTTATTTTTCTTTTAGAGGCTATCGCTTCTTTCATTATAATTTTGGCGTTGTTAAAATCTATTTTGTGCCCTGTGTTCCATGAATGCTGACAAATCTTAGATTTGTAATAATTTATATATATAAATTTTTTCGTATGCAGGATACAAGAAATACCAAACCGCCTACCGAAATCTATTTACGGTGAGCTTGTAGACGAGGTTGCAGGTATTCTAAGCCGGAAAAAAGGGAATGATGTATTTCCGCAGAGAAATTTTTGTGATTTTGTGTTGGGGGAGGCTTCTATTCTGAATCACCCTTGGTCTTGATCTCCATAATTCCCTAACCAACGTTTTTGCCAACACAGGAAGGATTTAAATTATTTGCCTTTTTGAAGGAAACCGGATATTACCTCAAGATTTAATTTTATTGCGATCATAAAGAAGAATTAAAAACTTAGGTAAAACACGAAATACGCTACTAAATAGCTATTAATGCTGATGCTGAAAATTATATTCCAACAAATGGCAGATGCATTATATTCATGCAAAAGAGATTAACAGCTATGTCTATAAGTAAATGTTTGTTTTATATTTATTGAGTGGCCCAGTAAAGATTATTACTGAACCTTTCTAGAAAAGAAATCGTGGAGCAAAACATTATTTGATGTTTTTGTGCACATGACGATTGATTTCTAATTTTTTATGAATTTTGTTTTTTAATTATAGCTTAATTTATAAATCTAATGTACAAAATGTACGTTTAAAATAGTTCTCCACATGTAACTAACCAAAGTTAACAAAATATTATGCAAACCACATATTTATTTTGATTACGTAGTTATTTATTACCTAACATAACAAAAGTAGAACATAAACTAAGACCAGAATTTGATTGTCGAACTGTTTTGCTTTATGTTCTGTCGGTATATTTAAGGCGTGTAGGTAGAATGAATGTACTTCGATTATATTCTACAGTATGTTCAAAGAAAATGCGATTCCTATCTAACAACAATGCTATAAAAATCGGAGAAGAACTATTGGAATATGTAGCGGAATTTAATTACCTACCTCGGCGCGGCATCGGCAGTTTGATTTCGGAAAAGGCCAATATCGACTCTGAAATTCATCACAGAATTAGCAGCTATTTTGAGAAAAATGCATTTAAAAAAAATGCTTCTTTTAAAATGGTTAATCCCGTTTATACTTTTCCAGATTTCCATACTTTTTAGAGAAAAATAAAAAAATTGGCGCCGGCGCTGGGAGGCACGTATAGCCGCCCATACTAAAATATGTTGATAAACAGTTGGTAGGCAGTTCTTTTAGTTTCAAAGTAAAGGAATTTTTCCAATTTTAGTCCGCGGTTATTT